ACACAGCAAGAGAGGGAACACAAGCAGGGGGAGTGGGAGAGGGAGAAGCAGGCTTTCCGCGGAGCAGGGAGCCCGATGCGGGGTTCGATCCCAGGACCCTGGGACCATGACCTGAGCCGAGGGCAGACGCTTAACCAACTGAGCCACCCAGGCACCCCTGTTCTCTGGTTTTTTGATAGTAACCATCCTAATAGGTGTGCAGTGATAGCTTGTTGTAGTCCAATTCCTATTTTAAAATAGTTACTTTACACTTATGGCAAAACTAGCCACCATTGTTTCCACTAGCAAAGAAACTTCTCCAGCAAGTGCTGCAGTCACTTTAACAGTACCGGATGGTTCATGTCATGAAATCAAAGGATGAGCTATCCCAAGACCGAGAGAATCCGTAGACCCTGCCAGTGGCCAAGCATTTATCTCTGCCTTTGTGGAGGGCAGCAGGGCAGGAAGGACCTCTGCCCTGTACTTACCTTAGCCGTTCTTCTTCATAAGCTGTCTTCCAGCATCCCACTCTCTTACCGTTATTCCTGTCCTTCTAGATTATTCCTTTATTCCTCTGAGCCGGCAAAAGTGTTGTCATGTCTGTAAATCATCTCCCTTGACCTACCCTGGCCCCTCGGCCATTTCTCTGCTCCTGTCACAGACAGTGCCGTGTCTACTTCCTCTCTTCCTGTCCTCTCAGACATTTTCCCCCCACCACGCCATGGAAAGAGCCCTTAGCAAGGCTGCCAGGGGACCTCCATGTTGCCAAAGCCAGCGGTCAGAGGTGTTAGCTAGAATCCATCACTCCCTCCCATGAAGCACTTCTTCACTTAGCTTTTCTGACAGCCCTCTCTCTCCTCCTCCTTCCACTTTGTGCTCACCGCTCCTCCATTTTTTGTTACACCAAACACTTTGGAGTCATCTTTGGCTTCTTTCTCTTCTGCTCCCACATCCAAGTTACCAGAAAAATCTTGGGGCTCCTCCTGTGAAATGTGTCCCCAGTCTGCTCTCTCTCACCTCCTCTGCTACTCTCAGCCTGGCTGAAACCACTGTCATTTCTCATCTGGAGGCTGCAGGAACCTGCTGACAGGCTTCCCTGCCCCATACTACAGGCCGCATGATTTGTCTAAAGCCCAAGACCAGTCAGACCACCCTCTGTTCCAAATCCTCCACTGAGTTCCCGTCTCACTGTGTGTCAGTTAGAAATCCCCACCATGGCTCATGAGACCTACCTGAAGTGCTCACACACCCAGCCCCACTCTCTACAAAACCTCATTTTGCTCCAACAGTCCACGTACAGCTTGTAGACCATTCCAAACACGCTCCCACCTCTGGGCTCTTTGCACTTGTTATTCCTTCTATGGGACACTTTCCCCAGATGTCTGTGAGACTCACGCCCTGCGTCCTTTGGGTCTTTGATCTAATGGCACTTTATCAGAGAGTTCTTCTCTGACTGCTCTTTATTTAATAGTAGCCCTTCCTGCCCCATCACTTTTGTTCTCTTCTTTCTGCTTTCTCACTTTCTTCAAAGCATTTATCACCTCCTGACATACTATATATTTGCCTGTGTCTTGTCTGTTTCCCCAGTACAGTGTAAGGCCCAGAAGGGAAGGGATGACATCAGTTTTCACTCACTGGTCTATCTCCAGCTCCCAGAATGGGGCCAGGCACGCAGTCACTCGATAAATACTTGTTGAATTAATAGACAAGAATGTCGGGGTGTCTGGGTGGCTCAGTCTGTTGAGCGTCTGGTTCTTGATTTTGGCTCAGGTCATGCGCTGGGTGTGGAGCCTGCTTGGGATTATCTCTCTCCCTCTTCCTCTGCCCGCCCCCCAGCTCGTGCACGCGCATGTGCTCTCTCTCTCTCTCTTTCTCTAAAAATTGATAAGAATGTCCGTACATATATACATTGCTAAACCATTTACAGAATAAAAAATGTGAAAATAGCACAAATCCCCAACAATTAAATAAATTAAGGCATTAATAAGGGGTTAAATAAATTAAGGCAGAGCCACCAGATAGATTGTTATGCATCCATTAAAATAGTGTTGTTGAATATTCAGCGACATGAGAAAATGTGAACACAACTCTGAGAAGTAAAAGCAAAAACACCCAGTACACTAAAAGTACATAAAATAGAACAGAAATTTAATTTAAATAAAGAAATGATTTTGTGAATGGATAGAGAGGGAAAAGGAGAAGTTGACCAAATAGAAAAGAGGCTAGAAGCACGTATGCTAAGGTGTTCAGAATGGTTAGGGCTCAATGGTAGAATGTTGGGTGATTTTTATTTTCCTTATGCTTCACCATTTTGTTCAAGTTTTCTATAGCAAATATATATTACTTCTAATAATCATTAAAACTAATTTTAAAATTCTAAAAATTCCTAACTGTTGGGAGAGAGACTCTGATTGGCCAACACCTGGTCTGAGCACGTGTGGAGGGGAAGTGTGGCCCCATGGTATGCAGGGTGACCCCACTAAGTTCTCTACAAGCAGGATGTGGTCCAGGAAAGAAGGAGTGGCGAGCGAGGCTCATACCAACCTCAACTATGACATGACAGTGGGGAAGGAGAGGAAAGGCCACATATGTACTTTCTAAGGTCTAGATCTGACAGATACCAGAATTATAAGTTCCAGTGAAACCTGTCATTTCCTTTGGTTAGGGACTGTGAGACGTTCCCCGTGTTAGAACGGAAGGGCTCTTTGAGGTCGTCCCGCCCAACTCCTTCATATACAGCTGAAGAAACCGGGGAAGAAATAGGGTGGCCGCCCCTGGTCACAGCTGGTGGCAGAGTGGGGGCTCGGGAGGGTATTATGCTCAGTGAAATAAGTCAGTCAGAGAAAGTCAACTATCATATGGTTTCACTCATATGTGGAATATAAGACATAGCACAGAGGATCATAGGGGAAGGGAGGGAGAACTGTATGGGAAGAAAGCAGAGAGGGAGACAAACCGTGAGGGACTCTGGACTCCGGGAAACAAACTGAGGGTTTCAGAAGGGAGAGGGGTTGGGGATGGGGTAACCAGGTGATGGGCATTAAGGAGGGCACGTGCTGTGATGAGCACTGGGTGTTGCATGCAACTGATGAGTTCTTGAACACTGCTTCGGAAACTAATGATGTACTGTATGTTGGCTAATTGAATTTAGATTTTAAAAAGATCTGCTTCCCCTAGGAGTTCAGTTTGTGCTAACCCACGTCCCCAGCCCACAGGAGTCGCACTGCAAGGCTGGCAGGAGTTGTGGGAGGCTTTCAGAGAGACCCGGCTTGAATGGCCAGCCACGTCTGTGAATCCTCTCCGGTCCTCCTCCTCGTCCTGCAGTGTCTGTCCTCCTGGTGGTCGGCTACAGAATGGATTTGTTTTTTCCTCTGACATGAAAGCATCTCTGTGCCTGGATAAAGGCACGGGCTGGCTTGATTTACAAATGACAAAAAATAAAGTTGGAAGCCGGCTTGGCCCTCAAGCCTCTGCTCCTTCAGTCCCAGCACAGACCTTCTTCTCTAAGCCCCGCGGTTCAGAGAAGGCTTTCATATCCGGCTGCTCAGTTCAGCACCCGGGCAGCGGGGCCATCCGTGTGCCAGAGGCCGCAGCTGGGGTCACTAGGGCTGCTCTGAGGGTCCTAGGCGCGTGGGAGCGGGTCGGGAGGTAAACGGTATTTCGTAGTACAGGTTGGTGTTGGCCAAAAGTTTGAAAACCAGTGTTTTAGTGAACCTGAAACACTCTTCTCCGGAAACATAGCCCGTGTAAAGGACTGTTTCAGCAGAAGAGCTCTCTTTTTTGAATTCTACTGATTCTAGTGACATCTCATTGCTGGGGGGACAAAAATCCCCTAAGGCAGTATTTGTATTAAAAGGGGACGCCTGGGGGGCTCAACTGGTTAAGCGTGTGCCTTCAACTCAGGTCACAATCTCAGGGTCCTGGGATCAAGTTCCGCGTCAGGCTCCCTGCTCAGCAGAGAGCCTGCTTCTCCCTCTTCCTTGCCCACTGCCCCTGCTTGTGCTCTCTGTCAAATAAATAAAAAAAATCTTAAAAAAAAAAAAAAAAGAAGCACTCTGAGTAACCCTAACCCCTGGCCACCCACTTCTAGCAGCAGTGAAATTTCTTTTATAGTAAGATGCGAAGTTTTCCCTCCTGTTTTACTGTTTTATGAAGAAATTGATTCTCCGTCAGCTCTGCTGTTGTTTCCAGTTGTATTTATGAAAACTAGCAGGCACCACTTTCCTACAGAGAAACATGTCTTATTGCCCAGTGGTTCTCCAAAGGGAGGATTTTGCGCACCCCCGTCCCCAGCCATGTCTGGAGACAGTTTTTTGTTGTTACAGATGCTCTGGGGGCTGGGGGAGGTCCTCCTGGCATCCGGTGGCTAGAGAACAGGGTTGCTATCCCACAGCCTGCAGCACACGGCCAGCCCCACAACCAAGAGTCAGCTAGCCCACAATGTCAATAGAGCCAAGTTAAGAAACCCTGGCCTAGAGGAAGGCCTTTCTGTGGTAGACTGGAGTTTCTTACATCTAAGAAGTAATTTCAAGGCCATACTGTGGCATGGCATTAAGTCAGGGGCTGTATATCAGTGTCTTTTTACTTTTTTTAAAAAAAGATTTTATTTGACAGACAGAGAGAGAGAGCACGAGTGGGGTGAGGGGCACAGGGAGAAGCAGGCTTCCCGCCGAGCAGGGAGCCCGATGCGGGGCTCGATCCCAGGACCTTGGGATCATGACCTGAGCCGAAGGCAGACGCTTAACCGACTGAGCCACCCAGGCGCCCAAGATTTTTATTTATTTTTGAGAGAGAGAGAAAAAGAGAGAGCGAGAGCACAAGGGTGGGAGGGGCAGAGGGAGAAGCAGGCTTCCCGCCGAGCAGGGAGCCCGATGCGGGGCTCGATCCCAGGACCCTGAGATCATGACCTGAGCTGAAGGCAGACGCTTAACCAGTTGAGCCACCCAGGCTCCCCCATGTCTTTCTACTTTTAACTTAGTTAATAAACTGGCTAAAAATCTAGCACTCCCTATGTCATTTGCCCAAAAAAGCATTTTAATGAAAATTTCAGTGTCCACTGGATTAATGTTTTATAAGTTGTAGAGACCCTTCTATGTGCTAGTTCATTTTAAAAGCTATATCTTACCATAACAGATTCTTAAGATGACTTGCATGTTCATTGTACAAAGTATTTTTAAGAGACTTAAAAAAAAAACCCAAACAATAAATCCAGGAGGAATCCATTCAATATATTATTTCCATTTTTTTAAGTATTTGAGGTCATCCTATTTATACAATTTCTAGCCTGCTTTTTTCTCCTAAGTTTCAGACATCACCCCAAATTATTTTGTTTTGTAAACATTCAAACGGCCACTTCATAATCTGTCACATAGAATTCCTAAATAGTTTTGTTGAACACAGGGTATTATCAACTTACACTATCGTAAATGATCGGAGATGAGTCGTTCTGCTTTTCATGCTGCTCTGTAAGGAACACAGCAGCCTGGATTGTCTGGAGGGCTTTGGGACGTGGCTCTTTAATTCCCGGTCCGTGACAGAGGCAGGACAGAAAAGCCTTGTACTGCAATGGTGTCCCCCCACGAGGGACACCATTCAGAATACCTGACCCACAGGAAAAGTTCTGGAATGCCTGGGAATGTGGATTTAAAACTTGGCTAAACCACATAGATGCATATACACACACATATAAGTAAATGCCAGGAAAAAAAAAAAAGTCTGGAGGGATAAACAGCAAGCTTCGAGTACTGGTGACTCTGGGATAGAAACTGGGATTAGGCGAAGACGAGGCACTTGAGGTTGTTTTGGGTTTTTATTTCCTATTGTCTTCTTCTATATTCTTTGAACCCTTAATTGTGAGAATATATTTATATGGAACTTGTGTAATAGTTAAGCAAAATACATTTTAGAGAATGAACTCAAGAATGAATTCAAGCTCCTAGAACAGAGCGTGATTTATTCAGCATATAATTACCTTTTACTCCCTTTTTAAACCAACCCTAGCATGGTGCTTGGCACCGGTGGGGCACTGGACAAATGAGCGAGTCTGGAGATGGTGGCTTGTTCTGAGCTAAGAAGCTGTCACATGCATGTAGACGACAGGCCTTTATAATAACCTGATCCCCTTCCGGCTGACTGGATGAGATGCCTCTGCATCCAGGCTGGGCCAAGGAAGAAGTGGGTGGAAACTCTCAGCCGAGGGCCGGGAGCTTGGAGGTTTCAGGTTGACTGGCTCCTGTTACCCTTGGTCCCTTTGCTGTTGATTTAATCGCTGGTGGAGTCTGAGTTTCCCCGCAAAGCGCACAGCGGTTCCTGGGCCAATGGATGGCGAGATCTTTCCTGTTTCTTTCAGGCCGTACACCTGGTCCCTGGCTCCACGCCGAGGCAGCAGGGCAGAGCTCGGATGACATCAAAGGCAGAAATTCTCAGGTAACACCTCCCTCGGGTCTCTGAACGTAAAAGCAGGAGTTCTCCTCAGGGAGCCAGAAATGCCCAGAGTATGCTTTCTCCTTAAAGCTTTACATCTTTTGCACAGATTCTTTTGTCCTCAGGGAAAGCCATTTGGTGTACCTTTGTTTCTAGCTAGAATGAAACGTGTACAGTTTCAAACTCTGAAGAGGGAAGGGGGCGCTTCCCCCAGAATCCCCACCACATCCAGAAGCAAGGTTGGCCGCCCAGAAGCCCTTTGGAGTCCTTCTGCAACGGTGACCCCACTCCCTCCCCGCTCGTTCTTCCCTGGTTATGGTGGCTGGAGAGGCCTGAGACAAGGCTGTGTAATGTGCACCAAATGTAGGTCAGGGTTCTGTCTTGTCTGCAGAATACAGGGTATCTTACTGCTCCCGTGGGGGTTTTGCTCCCATCAGCACGATCATTTCTTTTGAACAAATGTAGTCACGCTTCAAGTCCCGGTGGCTGGAGGAAGCTGGGAGGGGAACCAGACGGGTTCTTGTGGGATAAGATGGTCTTTGAAAAAATGCCCTCCTCACACAAGGCAGCTTGAATGGACTGTCTCCTAACCTGGGCCAAGATGACTTCTCTCTGCCCATGACAGGGTCTCATCTTCAGAGGCCCTTTGTTTCTTCGAAAACAGGCATTTAGTCGTGCCCTGGCTTCCTCCTGTTTCAGAGTTCTGTGTGGCAAAGGGGGTGGCCTGCCATTAAACTGGGCCCTTCTGCAGCCCCCTGGGACAGCACAGCAAGGGACGTGAGAAGGGCGACAAGGCCCTGGATGTTGGGGATGAGTTCCTTGCAAGAGGACAAGTACCCCCTTTTCTAACCATGGCTAAGCTAAGAATTGTGATAACCACTCAGATGATCACAGGCTCAAAGGTGGCTGTCTGTTTGCAGTTAAGGGAGAAGTATATATGCATAGGGCAAAAGAAAACAGGGAGAATATACACAAAATTAACAGGCATCCACTCTGGGAAATGAGAGTTGATTTTTTTACTTTCTTCCTAGTGCATTTCTGCAATTTTTGAATTTTCTGTAGTGAATATGTTACTCTTGTGGTCAGGGAAATACAGCGATAATCAAAATAATAGTCCCTCCATTATACAGTTCTTTACATTTCTTCAGATAACCTGCAAATGTGATTTCATTTGATCCTTTTAGTAACTCTGTGATGTAAACTGGAGCGATACCTTTAATGACCTTTTTTTCAGACAAGAGAACTGAGCTCCAAGGGATTAAGGAACTTGCCCAAGGTCACATGCCCCAACTTCTGACTTCTCGTCCAGTGCTCCTTCCCTATACCGCTCTGCTTTCCTCTGGCATTTTCCTATTACCAGGACAGGAGTCATTCTTCCCTTCAGACGTGGCAAGAACGGTCAAACATTGTGCCAGGTCTGGTCTTTGGCCTCATGGCAGGCACATACCTAAATCACCGGAGCCTATAAAAGTCTAGTCGAGGATGGATTGTAAAGTCTCTCTTGGGCATCCCATAGTCAAGAAGATCTTTACATCTAGCTGGACACCCTCTTAATTCATTTTCACGTCAGTGAGACAAAAAGCAGTCTCCCAGAGAGATCACAGGGTTCTACACATCAGAAACTGCCCCCAGGGGGCACTCTTCTTTTACAGTGGAGAGAGCCCCAAGTGATCCGTGCGCTGGTGGGAGTCCTGGGGGGGTGAAATCTGATGGCCTGAGGCCCTTTCTCTTTTCCTTTGCCTTGTCTTAGGATCTCCAGCAAGTTCTTTGTTTTTCTTGAGTTTCTGTCCAGTGCTGGTGTTTGGTCTTATGAATGTTTCCAAGGTGGTGGTAGGTCGTGGTAGGTCTTCAGATGCCATCAAAACTATATGTCCCATTACATCCCTTTTCCACCTACAACCCCCTGGGTTGCATCTGATGCAACCCCTTGCATCTGATGGGACCCTCAGACCCTGGCAGCCTCGTATGAATCACAACAGGAAGGCTGTGGTGCCCAGCCCCAGCGTGGGTTGTCTGTGTGTGTGTGAAGAGTCTTCTAAACCCCCCCTGGTAATGTTACTGTCTCTCTACAGTTATCTCTAAAGACACTCCGGTGAGAAGACAGATGAAGCCAATATCCTGTGAGCCACCTGGGGGTCCATATCGCCAGATGGGCATCCCCAGGAGAACGTGTCTGGCCTCGCCATACTTAAGTTGTAATTCAGTTGACATACAAGCTCTGAGTGGAGCATTTATTTATTGTAAATATGTGGTTTGCACAGGCTTTAAATCAGTATGATCGTCGACTTTTATTTGCATAATTTAAAAAACCACACCCATATTATGTTTCTCCATTTTCTGAAGATGCATCTTGGCATTCATCCGTCGGTACAGATAGAGCTCTGTCCCCACCCCATGGTGTCCATTCCATGACTGTACATAATGCGTGCGGGCTGGCCCTTCCTAGATTCTGAAACATTTTGAGAAGATTCCTTCGTTTGCAAGTAGTCCCAAAGTCAGAGTACCCACAGCCGCTTCTTACTGGCATGATTCTATATTCTCATCACGCACACTGCAAAATCAAACCAAATAATGCCTTATAAACGATGCAGCTCAGAGAGAGTAGTGTGTCCCCACACCCAGACAATGCCACACAGCCTCCAGTGAACGAGATGTCATGTCTCGCTTCTGTTTGGCAGTACAGGGATTTTATTTTATTTTATTTTTGCTGCCTAATGTAAATAATGACGCAAAAGAAAGGCAAGAGTGGGCTCAGCCCCTCCGATGCCAACCACAGGGCCCTTTTGTAACTGAATGCTCCTACAAGTAGCCAATGTCCTTCCTGTTTACAGTGCCCCTGGTGCCCACGTGCCCGTGGCTTTCCTCCCATCCCGCCTAACTTCCCAGCTCCATCCTGGCAGCCAGGGTAAGGCGAGATTCTTGAGATTCGGGTACTTTTTTCTGCAAGTTAGAAACATCCGTAACTCATTATTATAGTCAATTACATATTCTATCTCAGAGATGGGTTGTTTTTTTTCCTCCCGGAGAGCAGGATTTTCACAGTAAATATGACACGAGGAAGTGTTAGACCGAAGCCTATTAGCAAGTATCTGCCTCACCTACCTGGTGCCTCACTCCTACCCTTAGGAACCCTGGAAGCACCCGCCAGGCGAACCTAGCTCCCTTCTAAACTAAAGAGGACCTGAGGGGTCTGAGAGCTCCGCCTTCCCTGTGGGGGGCGCACTTCTCTGTCAGGGAGAAGTGCCCAGGGCCAGCCCCCCCTGAATATGGAACTGGTCGGGAAGGGCTCTGGCTACTATTCTCACACCCTTTTTCTGGAGCTGGCAAGGAAATGGAAGTGTGTGTTTGCTTGCACCTGACCCCAAATGCTCCCCTTTCTTGGAGGGGAAGCTGTAAGAGAGGAAGGAGAGAAAATAGAAGGAAACAGACTGCCCCCAGGTCTGTGCTCAAAATAGGTGGAGATTAAAGGAAATAGGCTGGGGGGGTGGGCAGGGAGGTGGCGAGAAGAGCAGTGGAAAAACAAGTATCCTTTGGAACAACCCACTCATGTGCTCAGACGTGAAGGACACCGTGCCCGGACCAAGCCATCCAAAACAGCCGGTTAGGAGGGGTTGGGCAAACGTGACTGCACACACTTAGCTGTTGTCCAGAGTAAAGACTAGGATGGCATCCCACATTACTGTCATGCTTTGTCATTCTGGAGAGGAGCCACTGAGCAAGGTCAAGTGCCCTTCTCTGGGGAATCAATCATCCCAAATTATCACTGCTAAATCAATTGGAAAAGAAGCTTTGCAGGTCATCAGCTCTGAGCATAGCTGATTTGTTTTATTGGTTCTGGAAGGTTTCCAAAAGGTCAGGACTTTTTTATTATAACGGGATCCGCTCCATCTCCCTCCCAGTTGTAGGAAAATAATTACAAGGGCTTTAATTATCATGATGAAGAAGGCCCAAGACAAAGGCAAATCCACCTTCAGAGGAGACTGGCCGCCCCGCTGAGGTGTTGATGCATTCACATTCCGCACCACTGGGATAGAAATTAAAAATAAAACCTGTCAAGGACAGAGGGAAGGGATGAGCAGAAACCAAAAATTGCAACGAGGTCAGAAATCTCAGGAATCTGGCCTCCCATCTCTCCTCGAGACCTGTCACTGAATTCACGCCCTCGGAACTCAGGCAGTGCCCGCCTCTGGCAGGACAGACCGTTAGCCCCTTGACCATAAACTCCCACAGAGGCATCGAGTTCCAGCGCTCTTACCGCTCTCAAGTGTTCTGACACCGTCTGTGGCTCCCCCGTGTTTCCTATGTATTTTATATTTATTGATGTGCCCTCTGCAGACTCATTTCTTTGTATCTAATAAACTTTAATAAGTGGAAATGCTTCTGCCCGTGTCCTTGTTAAAACCCATCGAGGGTCACCGGTGCCGAAGTAAGCCAGATATTTTTCAGGGTTAGACGGGCTTCTAAGAATGATGGGACACAAAGGATACTCCCCCAGGACCCAACGCGTGCTGTGACATGCTGTGTTCAAAGTGGGGCCTTTCTTTTCTGAGCTGACATTACTAACTAACCTACATAATGTTTTTCTAGTTTTGGGGCGCCTGGGTGGCTCAGTCAGTTTTAAGCGGCTGCCTTTGGCTCAGGTCATGATCCTGGGGTCCTGGGATTGAGCTCCTTGCTCAGCGGGGAGTCTGCTTTTCCCCCCTCCTTCCCCTTCCTCTGCTTGTGTTCTCTCTCACTTACTCTCTCAAATAAATAAATCTAAAAAAAAATAATAATGTTTTCCTAGTTTTTGTAGCTAAACTGAACTGATGGGTATTTGGGAAAAACCACCAAAGGAAAATCTTTCTCAAATGCATTTTCTTAAAAAAAACCCCACAACTATATTTTTCTATTCATAGAAAACAGAGTATTGCTTATAGAGTGCCTCTAATTTGTGTTAAAATGAAACAAACAGCTTTCGACCTGAAGTGCAGTGATCACCTGCCCCAACTTAGCAAACCCCTCAAAACATCTATATGAGGCAGTGTCCTCTCGCTCTCCATTGTAGTATTTTCAAGTGGCCTCTTTGGTATGTGGTGCAGGGGAAATGAGGATCAGCTGCGAGGTAAGCTGGCTTAGGGGCAGACGGAGATCTGGCTCTCTATTTTGCCTCTTACAAGTCTGGGGATGTAAATTACATAACCAGTCTGTGCCTCAGTTTCCTCATGTGTAAAACAGGGACACAAATATGGACCTAAGCATGTAGTGGTAAAGATGCAGTGATATAAGCCCTAGACAAGCCCTTCACTCTTGGGTCCCAACAGACGCAGGTATGAGCGCACACCGCACTCTAGGGTACATTACGGGCTGAGCACCCGACAGCTCACACTGGCTGCCCCCCGGCATTCCACCTCGATGGCTACGGAGCGGCTCAGAGCGCACCCCACTGGCTCTGCTGCAGGGAGAGAACACTAATTACATTTCATAGATGTTCCCGAAGGAAGTCTCATCTAGAAACTAATTTCAAAGTTCACTGCTACTTTGCCTCCTATTTAGTGAAGGACCTGACTTGTTTTATCTTCACTCTCATTAGCAGAGGTAGAGAGAAGCTCTTTCATGACCAAAAGGGCCAGTCTGAGTGGAGAAGAAAAGCAGTAGCCCAAGATCACTGACGAAGGGGACGATGAAGGGCAGAGCCATGGACTGTGGAGCTGAAGGAGCCATACTTTTAGGCACCCCTGATGGAGTGAAGAGGGGGGGAAGGTGGTAGCTACAAGGCTGAAGGAAGCAGCTTCATGGGGAGGGCTGTGACCTGTGACCTCCAGGAGTGAGTTCCAGTTTCTCACAAGGGGCCCCAGAGGTTTGGGCGTCCTTCACGAAGCTGCTCTGTTACGGGTTGAATGACGTCTTCCAAAAACGCGTCTGCGGAAGTCCTAACCCCACACCTCAGTGTAACCTTCTTTGAGAATAAGGTTGCAGATGTAATTCGTTAAGATGAGGTCATACGCAATAGGGTGGGCCCTAATCCAGTCTGACTGGTGTCCTTGTAAGAAGGGGGATTTGGACACGGACACAGGGACAGTGTGTGAAGATGAAGACAGATCGGGGTGCTGCTGCAGGCCAGCAAACCACCACAAGCTAGGGGAGAGGCATAGGACAGATTCTCCCCCACAGCCCTCAGAGGGAACCAACCTCGCGGACACCTTGGTTTTGGACTTCTCGCCTCCAGAACTGTGAGACGATCCATTTCTGCGGTTTGAGCCAAGCACTCTGTGGTATTTTACGGTAGCAGCCCTAGCAAACGAGTGCGTGCTCTGTCGCCGTGGAGCTTTGTGGGAGAACGTTACGTTTCTGAAAGAAGAGTTGGAAATAGGTTTACAGAGCTAGCTGGTCCTTGTCATATAAATGCGGCAGTCCCCTTCTCTGACCTTGACCTGAGTCACTTGTGACCAGTGACGAAGTCCTCTCGTCATGAACAAGCTACTCAGTTGCCTTTTGCCTGACACAGTGGCGACCAAATCATGGGAGCGATCTGGCATTTCTAGGTCATGAAAGTGGGGACAGCTGGTCTTTCTCTCTAGCGGCATCTTCAGTGGCCGTGCCATGCAGTTAACATCAAGATGCTTGGCACGGATGGCACCAGCTGTTCTGGGGATCAAGACTTCCGTCCCTAGTGTGGTTTTTGTTTAATTGTGGTAAAATACACATGACATAAATTCACCATCATAACCATGTTCCAGTGTACAGTTCAGTGTGGTTAAGTATAGTCACGTGATGGTGCAGCCAATCTCCAGAATTCTTTTATCAACTTGCAAAACTGAAACTCTCTACCACCTTGACAGCAACTGCTCGTTCCCCAGCCCCCCAGCCCCTGGCAACCACCATTCCACTTTCCGGTTACTACTCCTGGGACCTCATGTAAGTGGAATCATACGACATTTGCCTTCTGGATACCGGCTTATTTCACTCAGAGTAACGTCAGCGGACACTTGGGTTGCTTCCACCTTTTGGCTATTGTGAATAATGTTGCTATGAACAGGGGTGTAAAAATACTCTGAGGCCTTGCTTTCAGTTCTTTTGGGCATATACTCAGAAGTAGAATTTCTGGGTTATACGCTAATTCTATCTTTTCAACTCTTTGGGGGAACGGCCATACTGTTTTCCATACCACCTGCACCATTTTATAGTCCCTCCAACACTGTACAAGGAAGGGCTCCAGTGTCTCCACATCCTCATCAACACCGGTTATTTTCTGCTTTTTTCATAGTAGCCATCCCGATGGGTGTGAAGCGGTGTCTCACTGTGCTTCTGTGTTTATTTTTAAATATGAGTTTAATTCTGAGTTATCCACAGAACGGTATGCCGTTCGCCGAAACGCTGAGCTGATTGGGTTTTCTGAAGATGCCAGTCAGAAAAATATATCCCCCTTCATACATTTTCTGTTTTGTGATTGATGCCCACATTTATTCATGAAACACAAGAACATTTATTTGTGGTTTTTTTTTTTTTTTATTGTATGCTTGATGTATTTAGAGACAATTCCAAGGGCAAGCACTGGATAGGGAAGTTATCTGGTTCATAGATATTTGTACAAAAGGCTGTTAAGACTACACGGTCAGTTCCCACTGCAGGAAACAGAAAGATTTTCGTTTTTATTATTCCCTGCCAATAGCATTTTCCAGCTCACACATTTAACTTCTCACAACATGACTGCAAACATGTACATACTCATTCCCATGAGAAATCTGCATGTGCCATTTCGGAATGTCTGAAGTCAGCCAGATCAGGCACGTTTGCCACAAGCCGTGGGCGGGGAGCTGGGACTTGGGACTGTGCAGAATGAAATGTCAGCCACAGGGAGGCACAGGGTGGTGCTGGGACAACACGTGCATGTGACCCGCCACACAAGAATGGCCCAGGCTCCCCTCCCTCCTCCTTCCATGTGCTTCCTTCCTAAAGCTGAGAGCTCAGCTGAACACCTCCCCTACAAATGACTTAACTGTTCTTTAGGCAAGAATGCAGTTCATGGTTCCCTAGCAGACACATTGGTCCCACCTGGCTTCCCTGCTGGGCCAGCCAGAGCGGTGTAACACCTGCACTAAGGTGGGACGATGTAAGTTAGTGAGCAAGGTGGTTTGCCTGGTTGGTAATTATTTTTTATACCTAACCATTCACCCAGTAGTGAAGGAACTTCACTGCTAATATCTAATAGGCATACACCTGCTCTGTTAGCTTGTAAGAAAGACGCTTCCGAATAATAACACTGGGTCTTATGTTACTGGGCCCTAAAGAATCACCATAATTTCAAGTATATCCTTATTCTACCTAGAATTCTACCTAGAATTCCAAACCAACCTCCAAGAATGAAGAGCACTACTCTGCTTTGCTAATTTACTTTTATTGCAGCCTCTTTCACCTTTAGGGGATGAGGGCTGTCTTCATCTATGGTAAATCCCATCTACTAGACAAGACTAAGTAGCTTATGTTCGGTTATGGGGCATGGAAATAGGGGAGAAATTCTATCCTGGCCATGTCTTCTTTCTGCACAAAGCATGCACAGCTCCCCCATCCAAGTCTTAATGGATATTCCAATGGTATTTCGGGAAGCTTATTTACACACTGACCTTTAAACATTGCTTTCATAGTTCATCTTGAATATTCATTTCCCCACACTGTCTTTAGAAAAGCAATCCCTGGTAAAGAAATCATCCACGTAATGATAAGCATTTTTCAAAAGCAGAGTCTGTTAGGAGCATTTAAAAAGAAACATCTCGCCAACAGCCTGCTCAAAATCCAACAACATATTTTAAGCAGTTGACCTCAGTAGATAAAAGTCACTAGAAGTGAGTCCAGCCGCATCAGCAGGTTCCTTACTCTCTTCTTGTCTTTCCCTACAACCCCCAAGGCACAAAGAATTCGTCCACTGCTATTATTGGGGGTTTGACTGTACACAGACCCCGTCCGAGCCGGATGGAAGCATCCCAGCCCCATTTAACTTCTGCCAGGCTGTGCCACGGAGGGCTGCCACGCCCCCTGGTGGTAAGACAGGGGCATCACAATCGTGACGTACAGTGTTAGCTAAGACAATTCTCATTTAGGGTTGACCCTTCTTTGAGATGCTGGACAAATGTCCCCTAACGGAAGCAGCCATTGTATTTCCCACTTCACAGTGGCTAGGGAACGGCGTAGGCTGGATGGGTGATCCATGACCTTTGTTTGGCCCATAACAATGAAAGCAGGCCTCTGTGTAATTTAGTCTCACTAGACTTCTTTTGGTAAAACCCCGAATCACCTTGGTACCTCAGACGTGTCAGGTCTGATGAAATGTTTCTGTAACAGGTGGAGGTGAAACCACGTGGTGAAATTTTAGGGTGGCTTTCCACATCACCTTGTCTTAAATAACCACTGAGCAGGTGGACTGAGGAGCGGCGAAGTACCTGTGTTACGAACCCCCCGAGCTTAGCATCTGTAAACTGATGCTCTAGGGATGGCCGCTCCCTCTAAGAGGAGAGCCTGCGTTCATCAACAGGGAAAGCCCTGGATGAGACTCAGCAACTACAAGTCACCACCAACGGCTGTGGTAACTCTGTCGGCCCAAACATCCTTCCCATCTGCTAGCGCTCACCGTTCATGCTTTCACAGACAGAATTCACAAAACTGCTGGCCCAAAAGCTCGTGGCGCTCTGATACCCACACCCTTCAAGGGAGGTCGGTAGAGCAAGATGTGTTCGGATAAGCCCCGTGGCCCTCCGTGCCCACATCCGTGTGTGGGACCCCGTCCCTTCCGGCCCGCCTGGCCTGTCGCGCACCGCTCTCGGCGCAGAGTCACTGACCCTAGGTCACTTCAGAGATTACTGACGCTCACAATCTTTCCACTTGCAAATTCCTACCAGTGACGAAGCATGATTGGGCCCAACTGGGTACGGGTGAGGCCGGAGTAAGGAAAGGGCCGTCCTTCCACCAGCGGCCACACCTGCTTACGCGTCTATTCATCATCTCCGCCCCCGGAGCATTTCACAGTGCTTGAGAGTTTCCGTGGCTGGGGCGAAGCCCCCCCTACACCTGCCCCCTGCAGCTACCTTCATTCCAAGAGCAGCTACTGGGAATAAAGGGAAGGGCGGGGAGAGCCAGCTGCATCCTACGCAGCTTTGTGGGATTGAACAAGCTGGGCAGGAAGGCTGGGGTTGGATCGCCACCCTGCAGCGAAATGCTTCTGCATCCATCTGTCACCTCCTTGCCCTCTGTCTTCCCAATGCTGAGCCCATCTGGTCCTCACACGCCCGTCTATGCTCTGGTGGTAAGTGAGATCCTCCGTGTGAACACGACGTTGGAAACAAATCAGTTAAATTAAAGTCTCTGCTGAGATCACGTAGTCGCTGCTCAGATTCCAGCTACTTTAACTGAAATCTAAACAGTCAGGAGTTTCTCCTTTTCTTTCCCTCGCTAGCTGGGGAAATTCGCAGCCCCGTGGGGTGGAACTGTGCCACGGAGCCATTTAATTCATCCTGACGTAGATGGTCATCACCAAGCCCGAAATCGTTTCTACACGGAGCCACATCCAAGGGGGGGGGCGTGTGCAGGGAGAGCCGCAGGCCTCTGGGGAGGGCCGTGCGGTGAATCAGGGAGGCCCCGGTGTGGCTGCCTCCGAGTCTCTACCGTGGGCGCCTCCAGCTGACTCCCCTAACCAGCTCTCCTGCGCAGGGGCCGTCTGTGGGTCCCCCGCACACGAGGCGCAGGGTAGAGAAGACAGGCTCTTTGGGATCACGGGGATCAGGATGAGCTGGGACCACAGAGGGGCCCCCTTTGTTCCTCCCCATTGGCTGTGTCCCTCAGCAGACACATCTGGAGAACTCTGCATGACAGGCATGCACCCATGTGAAGGGAGGCCTGGAAGCTTCTCCCTCAAGTACACACACAGAGCCCTGGCCCTTTGGTTAACCCGGAAGAAACCAGTACTGAAAGAAAGCATAAGACCAAAAGATGTTGCTTTTCCTGCACACTTAGCACTGTGGAGCCCCCTTCCAAGGCCTGATGAACCCTTGCTCTCCGTGAGAAGGCTAATGTGTCCACAGTCACTGAGATGCAATGAGAGCAGCTGAAAATCCACAATTAGTCATACAATCGAACGACAGGCAAATGGAGACGCGTTACATTGCAAAAGAAGGGAAGCTACGTGGTAGGAGAAGGGGTTGTTGTTGAGCTTCAAGGCAGAACACAAGAGTGTGACTTTAACACATCGGAACTTTCTCATTTTACTCACACAGGAGAGTGGCTTGTTTTGCTGGTAATTTAGTAAGGTGGGAACGTTTAAATAAGAAGGGGAAAGGGAATGCTTACTTCACTTAAAGAACTTAATCTCCGTGTCAACACAGTCATAGAAAAGATCCCCCACTTCGGTGGGGTCCAGGGGGTCAGAGCTGGTCAGGATTTCTTCCATGGCCTCCAGGCCTTGCTTCTCTAGTTCCAGCATGGTCTTTCTCAGCTGGCGACCTTGCTCCTGAGGAAGGACGGAAACAGCGCGGGTCACTACAGTGGACAAGAAAGCCTCCCAGGGGCCCATCCACCCCATTCAATCTCTTTCCCCACAACTGCTACAGGGATCATTCTAGAATGCCAGGGTGGTTATGGTACTCCTCTGCTTGGCGTCCTTAGGTCCTCACTGCCTTCAGGATAAAGTCCGGACGCCTGAGACACACTCAGGAAAGGCCTTGTGTAACATACGAGGCTCTTGCTTGCTTCACCTCCTGCCATGGCCCCCACATCTCCTTTCCCTTCAGCCGGACTGAATTAACTGCATTCTTCCAACCCACGATTCTGCGCCCTGCTCTTCCTCAGCACTTGTCAACTTGTACCCATCTCCAGGCTTCTCTGAACCTTTCCTCTGGGCTCCCTGTCGATGCCTTTACTTCGGCCATGGCTGTTCTTTTTCTGTCTTATACGGGTCTGTCGACTTGCCTGCGTCCGCCATTAGACCATGATCTCCTGAGAGAACTGAGCTCCTCACTATGCTCCAATGCCTGGGTCACAGCAGACATTCCCAATAACTGTTTGTGGAATGAATAAATGGATCAGCCAATAAACACGAGCCACACCTATCCCTCAACTCACTCTCGTTCTGAGGTGGGGAGATTTCTTCCACTCACACACGGTGGATGACCGTGAAAAGCGTTCATTCGCCCAGTTCGTCCCAGAACGGAGGAGCTGCTATCACCACACGCACCACTTCCTAACACGGCTTTGACTTGAACCAATGGTCATTTCTCAATGTCAAAGCCCACCCAACCTCATCAGTCTCATCTCTTTGACATATTGTGTAGAATAGTTCAAGCACACGGGCCTTTCTCCCTCTGCCTTCTAGTTGCCAAACAGCCATAAAACCATGCACCAAGGGGCATTTTTCTTTGGGGCTTGCTGTCCTCCGCCTAGAAAACATGCACAGTCGGGAAGCGAGGTGGACCGCCCCGAGCAAAACCCAGTGCCGCGTGGTGGCTGCGCTCACACTTCCCGGGAAACGTTCGGCAGGCAAGGTGGATGTGAAAACACTGTGACTTTGACACGTCCCAATGGTCGCTTCTGTGGCACGGAAAAGCAAATTCTAGGAGTAGCGAGGCCACCTTCTCTGAGATTCTTTCTGAATTCCCCTGGATTTACTGTTGATGTTGCCCTTCTTTCTGTGCTTTTTAGAGTCCACCATGCTAAGCAGGAGAAAAGAAGCTCGCCCAGTCCACACAAATGCAGGCACCAATTTCTCTACAAGGTGTCCCTTTCTTCAGGACAAACGGGACCTGTTTCAAGTTGTTAAATACATGCGTGGGAGGCAGATGGGCATTTAACTACCGTGCTCCTTGCCCTGCCCTTCAGCAAAACAGAGGCTTGGGTTTTATAGGTGACCCATCACTAATGGCTGCCGTGGGCAGAGACAGGGCGTGTGTCTTGTTTGAACTGATGTCTTATAACTTCATTTACCAAAGCTTGGGCAAGGGTAGGGTAGGGTGGGGAGTTGCACACTGAAGAATAACTTTTTTAAAAAACTGGAAATTTGAGAATCTTTTTTTAAAACTTTTTAAAATTATAGTAAAATACACATAACATAAAATTTTCTGTTTTAGCCAGGTTTAAGTGTACAAGGTCAGTGGCATAAGGACATTCGCCTTGTTGAACACCCATCACCACCATCCATCTCCAGAACTTTTTGAAAGGATTACTTTTTTTTTAATAACATAGGACTGCACCTTTAAATAAAATTTTGCCAGCTTGTACAACTTTCTACCCCCAAAAGTATACAAAGATTTTTAGACAGCAGGAAAGCAGTTATCCCTACTAGAACGGCACATTTCTGTTATTCCCAGGTAAACAGTAAATGAAAGAGGGATATTTCGAGCCCACTGAGTTCTGGAACAACATCACAAGTGGAGGCTTTGTTTCATTTGGATTCTAGAGACTGGCTGGAAAAATTAACAGCAGCCTTCTAGGAAAGGCCTTGGGTATCTGGATTTCTGGAAGGAGGCAAGCTGGCGAGGAGGAAAATGATGAGCTCCATAACCGCTCCCCTGCCTCCCCTCTCAAGGCCTTGCCCCTCCCCACCCCACCCCACCCCTGCGGGCCCGTTGCCAAGCTCACCTGGTCGCTTTCAATGACAGCACGTGCCCACTCGTGGGCCTTGTACAGCTCATGCCGGCGGTCTGGCTTCTCCAGGAACCGAGGCTCCTTTTTGGCAGGGTCGTTGTCCCCAAAACAAGGAGACTGTGCTTTGGGGACAAGTTTTACATCATCAACAAAGATGAAAGGCTTGAATATGGACCTGGAGAGAAAGGAGGGGTGCTTCAGCTAAACTGAGCTTGAGGCTTGAGGACACCAGACTGTCCTTTCATTCAGCAAACACTGCCTGAGCCAGCTCATGGTGGGT